CCTCTCAAACTTGAGCAACATAAGAGATGGGATTATAACAGCCTTGGAATTATTCAGGGTTGGTCGACCCAGAATCATGTTGTAGGCCGAGAGTTCTTCTACTACCAGGAACCGGACTACCATGTGTCGTCCTTCCCCTTTTTCGCCCAGGCGGATGGGTAAATCCACTCGTCCCAGTGGGTGGACGACTCCTCCTCCAAACCCTACTAAAGGGTGGGAGGCCGGATGTATGCAATCAGTCTGATATTTTAGTTTCGACAGACATTTGCTACTGATGAGATCTGAGGAGCTTCCGGTATCTATGAGGATTCGGCCAACTCTCTGGTTGGCCACTTTACATTCAATAACGATAGGGTCGTCATGCGGCCCTCTTACCCCTCCTAGATCTTCTTCAGTGATGACAATCTCAGGAAATGAATATTTGGACGGCCGTTCTTGGTGAACGGAATTTACATCTACCCGCCTGATATTGTCTTTGTTGCCCCTAATAGTGGGGCCGCCTCCTGAGAAGCCGCCTGCAATGGTGTAGACGACTGCATCATCTGTATCGGAGCTGTAGGCCTGTTGATTCTTTTTGGCCGACTGCTTTTTTGAGGAAGTGTTCCCCGTAGATTTCTTGACATAAGTGTCAAGATCACCTTGCTCAGCCAGGCGGTCCAGATACCGCATGAGACTGATGCAGTCATTGGTGTGATGACCAACATCATCATGATAAGCACAGAATTTATCTTGGCTCCGGTTGTTTGCAGAACCCTTCATGGGGACCGGCTTCTCAATTGAGATCCGTCCCTTGATTTCTTTTAGGATAAACTGGTTATCTTTGTTAAACGCATACTTTGGGGAGTATGGTTTGAATTCTTTTTTCTTTTTCTGGGCCGGCTGTTTAGAGGAATCAGCCGCCCAGACCTCTTTTCTCTTCTCATCTTTGTTTGACGACTGTTTCTGTCGTCCTTCTCTTTTGTCGAACCTTTTCCCGTCCGACTGTTTTACCGTACAAAGATCAGTCGCCTGTATATATAGGCTTCTGCTTCAATCAAGGCCTCTTGAAGAGTCGCCACCCTCTTTCGAACCAAATCAAATTTGAAGGTAGACCCGTCTTTGAGACCTCTGAAAAAGTCAGTATAGGCTACCTCATCCGGTAACCCTTGAATCTGTATTCTCATCAGGTTAAACCGCCTGATGTAAGAACGAAGCCCCTCCTTCTCGCCCTGCTGAATTGTTCCTAAATCAAGGGTCGTTTTCTTCGCAGGGATGTTCATAGGGAAGTTGGAGGTGAATAAGTAAGCAAGCGTCCTGAAGCTATTTACACAACCAGTCGGCAGGTTGCCGAACCATTGTTGTGCGATTCCTTTGAGAGTCGCTGGGAAACACTTGCACCAAGTGGGATCATCCAACCCTTGAAGGTACATCAGGTTGGTGAATGCCATCAGATGGTCTTCTGGGTTAGTAGTGCCGTCATAGGCGCCTACTAGTACATTTTTCACTTTGGTCGGCTGAGCGGCTTCAGTAATTTCCTTGGAGAAGGCCGACGGCTGTTCACCAAGTCTAAGCAACTGTAGCTGCCAGTCCATAGGTTGGACGTTTTTTGCTGCAGGTCCACCAAACGGAGGTGGCTGCAAAAAATACTGTTGTTGCGGCACAAATGGTAAGTTTGGTACCGCCTGGTCGCTATGAAAGCCGGACTGACGGGAGGTGCCGCCTGACTGACTCTCATGATACGACTGAGTATGCCTCATCGTGGCATTTCGCAGACTGTCTTGAAAGTTTGAAGTAGAGGCCGACTCTGACAATCGGTCACTCTTCTTCTGCTCTAGCAGTAGCCGAGCGTCTGTGAATGTTTGCTTCGACCCGTCCGCCTGAATATGACGAACATGTTTCCTATTTCCTGTAGGAAAACGGAATTTTGTGAAATCAAGGGCAGGTGGCTCCCGCTTCCTAGATTTAGGATGAGGAGTCGCCTCTCGCCCTTGAACTGGCTTCCTCTTCAGTGAAGTGGAGGGTTTCTTAGCCGACTGCTCCTTGACTGGAGCAGGCGGCTTCTTGTTGATCAACTCTTGAGTCTCTCCCTTGAAGTTCCTCATGAAGGTCATGAGTTCGTCCCTTGTGATGGGAGCAGACCCATCAGTGGGCTGTTGCCGAATAGGCGGTGCGCCTGCTGGCTCACTTCCAGTTTGAAGATGTTCCCGTTCCCTCCTTTCGGTATGACGGGTACGTCGGGCCCTTAGGGTCCCGTCTGAAGCTGTGTGAGCTTCAACTTCAAATTCACTCTCGGTATCATGGTCCGACTGAACTTGAGGGTCATCTAGGGGACGCCTCTCTTCAGGAGTCGGTACAGACTTGGATGCCATCTCAGAAGTACTCTCCCCACAGACGGCGCCAAATGTTTCGGGGTTTTCTGATGTCCTGCGGGAGAGTTACAATTCCGAGACTGGAACCGGACGCCTGTACCTGCAAAATAACGGAGACTCCTGGTGGTGGGAGCTCCGCCTCCAACGGTCAAGTTAGTACTTGATTAAGGAGTAATTAATGCGGAAATTAAAGTGATTGGGTCTCTCTAGGTGAGAGTGTTTAATGTAGGTAATCTGCTTTGTTAGCGAGATCAGCCGGTTATTACTGTGTGTAATTAATGTGTTTTTTCGTAATCCCCCTTAATGAGGATTAAGGGAGGTATTTATAACCTTGGGAAACGTGCCCATCCTAGGTTTAGGTTAACCTAGGGCTGATTGGGCTTCCCTCGGAAGTTGGGCCTGGGTGGCCGGTTTCTCCATTAGGCATGGAGTATGCCACATGTCATGACATAATAGGTCCAAGGTGGACGAATAAGCGCGTGCCACGTGGCAAGCCCTGACAGTTCCAACTGGGGGACACTTGGCAGGACCTGATTGGCCTACGTGGCGCATTCCGATTGGTGGGAGCAAAATCCCCTAATCAGTGTCTGTGCTAATGAATATGTTAGTTAAAACGAACACTACAAGAGGGGTGAATTGTATGTGAGTTCCTAGTGACTACTTTTACAAAATATAAAACAGAATATAAAGGAACTTTGCTATGCACACAGGATTTTACGAGGAAACCTTCCAGGGCCTAACAGGAAGTAAAATCTCGACCCTTTTAAGGGATTTCCAAACCAAACCAATTCACTATAATAGGGAAAACACCAAGTTACAACCTATTATAAAAAAGACCATTACTCATAAGTTCCAGATTGAACTTGCTACACGGTAGGACCATATTCTACCCAACCCAAGTTCCACACTCAGATTCACTCATACTATCACAATACTACCTCACAGCTTTTTCGCTCAAAGCTTACACAACTGTATGCAATATAAATTTCACACACACACTCCCAATAACTCAACCAATACAGAAGATAGAACACCTAGTATATGAAAGACAAGCTATGCACGAAATCCGAAACTAATATGACAAAATCACAAACTTGGCAAACTTACACAATTTAAGCACAATGATTTCTTCACGCATAAACTTACAGAAAACTTATGAATTGATATCTCTACTATTTATACAAGATTAACTCGTATAGCAAGTAGGGTTTTCAAAAGATAAAGGTGTCAAATTACCAAATCTCAAAACACGGATTTTAAGTAAATTGTTTAAGAGAAATTCTTTTTGGAAAATAAGATAAAGAAAGATATATCAAAAAGAGTATATCTTTTTAATAAACCGATTTTAAGAAATAAAACACTTAGAAAATCTTTTCTTAAAATCTATCCTTTTATCTTTTCCGTTTAAAAATTATTTTCCAAGTAATTTTGTCACGCTTCTAATAGATTTCATGCATATCCTACTTAACATATTTAACAATAAATCTAGAAGATAAAATCTTAGCTAAATTGATATTGTTGTGCCGCACTTCTGTAAGATTAAATTCCTTGGGATTGGATTCCTTGGGATTCATGCAGACTCGGACCAAGTTCCTGCTGTCACTTATACTCCAGTAGTCTTAAACTGGAACTTCGCAGGCTAAGTTCTTTCCAGAACTTATGGTCTTCATCTTGTTGTCTCCAAGTTCCTGTTAGGGAACATACTTCTTGTTAGAGAACTCTTCTTCTATTTTGACTAACTTTTCTTCAAAGGTCTCTTCATATCTTCTTAGCTTGAGTTACTCTTCCACCACCATGGTCTACTTCACCTGTGCTAATCAAATACTTGTAAACCTTTATTAATTGAGTTTGCGTATTAGTTTAAGTCTATCATCATCAAAACTCTTAAGCTTAAATAGCATAGTTATGATTAAGGATGATAGGATTAAAAAAAAAAAATACATAATCTATATATATATGCACAACTACATAAACCACAACCCAACAACAAAAAAAAAGAAAAAAAAACCCCAAACAGATCATACGATTATTTTCAGTTCAGCCAGCTCCTAATTTCCTTCTCTTATAAAATATTCAGTTCAATTCAGATATAATAAATTCAGTTCAATTCAGTTCAATTGAACTGAGTTCAGTCAATCATAACAAGCCCTAAGTCTTGATTCCCTAAAAAAAAAAATTAAGTCTTGAAATATTGTGCTAAATGAATTTAAGTCTTTAATTTGATTGTCCCTGCATCTCTCTCCTGAAATAGTAGAAATCTTCCTCTCATATTACTTGTATACATATGCAATTATAATGTCACCATTTCCCATCTCTAGAACATGTAGTGTGAAAGTGATTGTATTCATCAAACATTCACTCAAATACTCTAAAAATTAGTCTCCAAATTGTCAAAAAAAAAAAAAAAAAAAGAAGAGTGGAATGCATAGAATCACTAGGTGAAAAAAGGCATTTGGCAGCGGTTCAAACCCGGTCTAAGGCACCGGTTTGAACCGCTGCCTATGTGAGGGGTGCCAAAAGTTGTTTAATAAGGCACCGGTTCAAACCGGTGCCAAAAATGGCCAACAAAAATTATTTTGTTGTTTTTGGCACCGGTTAACCGGTGCCAAAAATGCCCAAAAATATATATATATTTTTTTTGTTTTGTCCAGCCAATTTGCGAAATATCAACTAGAATCGAAAATTTGGAATATATCAACAAGAATCGAAAATTGCAACATATCAACAAGAATCGAAAATTTGCAATATATGATTAAAAAAAAATTACAACAAAAAAAAACTTTGATTACAGCATATAAAAAAAATTACAATATAAATTTTAAAAAAAATTATAATATAAATTCAAAAAAAAAAAAAAAAAAAAAAACTCATTCATTCTTGCTTGTATATTGCTTCTTCGATTTCAGATCTAAATAACATACCTGCACCAATTAAAGCAAAGAAAAAAATCGATTAATATAATTAAACTTCGAAAGAAAAAGCCCAGAAATTTAATCCCAAAAATTAAAAAAAAAATTGAAATCGGTGTTACCCAGAAAAAAAAATTAAAATTAAAAAAACCAATGCAAAAATTAAAATTAGAATAAACCCAGAAATTGGAAAAAATTAAAATAAAAAAAAAACCAATGCAAAAAAATTAAAATCGAATAAACCCAGAAATTTGAAAAAATTAAAATAAAAAAAACCAATGCAAAAAAATTAGAATTCGAAAAAAATTAAAATCGGTGTTCGAAAAACCCAGAAACAAAAAATAATTGAAATCGAAAATAAATCCGATTTAAATCTGAAAAAAAAAATCAAAATCGAAATTGGTTAGAAAAAAAGATTAAAAATTCGATTCAAATTAAAATCGATTAAAATTTTAAAAAAAAACCCAAAAATTCGATTAAAATCAAAACAATAACCCAGAAATTTGATTGAAATCGATCTAACAACAACCCAGAAAAAAAAAAAGAATTTAAATCGATTAAAAAATAAATTAAAACAAAAACCCAGAAAATTAAAACAAAACCCATAAATTCCCTCACAAATCGGTGTTGCATGTGGTCTTCAAAAACCCAGAAAATCGAGATGTTGCATGTGTTCTTCGTGATTGTGAGGGAGAAGAAGATCGAAAAATTAAAGAGAATTAGATGGAGAAGAAGAAGATCGAAAAATTAAAGAGAAAAATCAGTTTGAGGAGAAGGAGATCGAGAATGGAGAAAGAGGAGGAGATGAGAGGAGAGAGAAAGAGAAAGAGGATGAGAGGAGATAGAAAGATTTTAGGGTTGGGGTGGGTTTAAAAGGACCGTGTTTTATTTTTGTTTTTGTTTTTTTTTTAATGGCTTCGGTTCAAACCGGTGGCCTATTTGTTTTTGGCACCGGTTTGAAGTGAACCGGTGCCTTTTACTCTGGTTCAGTTTCCCACCAATTTTGTAGGCCATTTTTGGCACCGGTTTGGACTGAACCGGTGCCAATTAGGGGGTGCCTTTTTGATATTTTCTACTAGTGAATTTGAGTGCTTGGGATTTGAAAGATTGTTGACTCTAATTCTTTTCCCCTTTTTCTCATTCTCGAAATCATATGACAATAGGAGAAGCATAATTGTATAAAGTATTTAATTCTTTTTACTTGTAAGCTCCCTTTGATTTTTTTAAATTATCGTGTAATGTATCATAAACTACAATGTAATTTTCGCAATCACTTTCTTGTAATTTTTAAAATATCTAATAAACCTTATTTTTTTATATATAACTTTTTAGAAAACAAACTCCATTTTAAAAAGAGTATTTTTTTTTATATATATATAAAAAAACTATTCCATAGCTTTTTTAAGGTTCATACAAATACTGAAACACACTTTGCCACTTACAAAAAAAATAAGGGAGTTAATAATTATTGTGGGACGGAGGCTAGAAATAATTATAATATTGTATCAATGTGTTTTCAATAGTTGTACATCCTCTATAAAACACAACATTTTTTCCCATTTTGATTCCATGGGTTGCCCGTGAACTAAATTTAAAACATTTATACACATTGCGGTAGCTCTGATTAAATTGCCAAATGTTTCATGTGAAACTCCACCGTCGTACGTCAGCCCCTTATATTTTCATTACCAACCAATTTTCCATTTTCATGCAATTCATTTCATAGCTAGCTTAATTAATCACTTCATTACCCAAAAAATAAAAAGAAAAGCAAATTCTTCTATTGTAGAAAGAAAGATTACGTAATAAATGGATGCATTGTGGAAATTAGAGGATAAATTGAAGATATCAACACAAAAAGCAGTAGTACTACTTATTTGTACGTCAATTTTAGTCATACTTGTTTGCTTAACCATAATTTTTGTAGTCCTTAAGAAGAAGGCCGCTCAAAGGAACAAGATCGCGTGCCACGATGAATTTGATGAAGAGACCGAGTCTATGATAGTGTACGAAAGATCTCATTCCAAGTGTGGATTGATGGAAGTAAGGAAGGCATTGTTGGGGTCGGCGTGTTGGAGCTTGGCACACAAGTGGAACGACGAGAGTGTTGTGCTAGGGAAACAAAGGATGAACGTTGTGTCGAGTTGTTTGAAGTGTTTAGGTTGTGTAGGCCGGTCGAAGATGCCCGTTTGGCAAAGGCCAATTCTAATGGGTGAGAGGTGTGAACTTCCTAGATTTAGTGGTTTGATTTTGTATGATGAAAGGGGTAGGCCAATTACTCACCACTATGATCATCATCACCATCAGTATTACCAACAGGTGAGCAACACAATATATAACCTCCTCCAATTTGTTTCATCTTGCTTATTGTCTTAGGACTTGTTCACTTCACCTTATTTTTGCTGTACTGAAATTAATTTTACTAAAGTAAAATAATTTTTTGTTGAAGAGAAATTATTTTTAATGAATTTTTTTTATAGGTAAACTACACCGGGCCTTATTTGAAATCATTGACATAATATAAGAAATTTTAATTCATGCGAAATCTTATTTGATTTGTTTATTAATTTATATTTTTAATATATGCAAAGATTTTTTATATAATTTGTAATTCAAGATATTTATATTTAAAATAGGAGACTAACAAAAGAAACAAAAAGAGTACTTATTTACTTTATTTTCAATTTTTGCAAAGATTGATTCGAGGGTTAAGATCTACTTCCTTGGTTCAAAAAAATTTCTAAATTAAAAAATTGCACTATATATCTTGTAACGAAATTTTTACTAGTACTAGTGCTAGGGCTCATATAGTCATATACTCATATAATTAGTGCTTACAATCATATTGATAAGTTTATGATTTTTCCTTCATAATGTGATTTTCGAACTTTCTCTCCATTCATTGATAAAGGGTACGGTTTATGGGCCAACATTGGCATCAAGACTTGGGTTTTTGTGTTGTAAAAATCCATTTGTACTATTGTAGGAATTATCAACTTTTTTGTACATTATGAAATTACGTATCCATCTATTAATGTCTATGGTTATGGTAGATAAACTATTAATTGAAGGTCTTGATTTAGCGGTCAAGAAATAGGATTTATGTGTGTTAAGACATGTGTTTAAATTTTTAATATGTTGTTTTTAGTTATGGAAGGTTGGCTAAGGGAAAGTAATATGTGAGTCGTGTGATTATAATTCACAGGAAGAAGCAGAGTTTGCAGGAACGACGGCGGGTATGCTTTTGGACTTACTATGATGGTTGAAGCTAGATCTCACGAGAGTGTTATTCATGCATGCTTCCTTTTCTATTCGATGTGATTTTCATAATATGCAATATCAAGGAAGAGATGTACATACACTATATCAATTTGGTTTTAGCCTCTCTTTTCTTATTGTAATCTCATACAAGTATAGTATAAAAGATCAGCTATTTCTCTTTATATGAAAGAAAATAATGCAAGATAAAATGATCAAATTTTGATTTTACAAACTTGTGAATGTCTAGTGCATTTCTACAATCGTTAAAATTATTACATTTCTACAAACTTGTGAGTTGTGACTTGTGAGGTCAAGTGCAAGCTAATTTTTCATGTACCATCCATTTCCATTAGCAATTCAAAGAGAGTTATTTGCAGTAATTCTAGTCTCGTGTATAAAATATATATATATACATATATAATAATATAATTGTTACACCCTTGTTCCTTATAATTCTTTAATACACTTGTGATTTTTGTAGTCTCCAATGAAATCGGTTTGACAGTTCGGTTTCGGTTCGGTTTGAAATTGGGTCGGTTTGAAATCGGTTCAAGTGTCTTACGGGTTGGATTCTGTTTGGTTTAATTAATTATCAGTTCGATTCGGTTTCGGTTCATTCTTGAGCGGTTTTAATTCAGTTCGGGCTGTAAATGGTTTGGGTAGTAAACAGTTCGATGCAGACGGGTTGCGGTTTGTTAACGGTTCGGTGTAAACGGTTTTTATACCGGTTCAAACAGTTTCGGGATGGAAACGGTTTCGAGTTAGAAACGGTTCGGTTCTTTTTCTGTTCAGTTTTATTTTGGTTCGGTTTATAACTGGTTCGATTTGTTAACGGGTTCGACTCTTATACGGTTTAACGTTATTTGGATAAGTTCCATTTTGCGTTTACTAAATTATGGTTTGAAACTTTTTTTATTTTAAAAAGTCGGTTTTTATCGGGTTGTTTGGGTTCGGGCAGTTAAACGATTTGGGTTTGAAATTTGATAGTACTTGCTAACCTTTTGCTGGTTAACAAGTTTTATATCAAGCCAAGAATTCATCACTTTATAAGTAGGGTTTTTTCGAGAGTGGTGGGCTGGGTGGCCGGGGTTTTCGAGGGTGGAGGAGAGGTCGCCGAGGGTTTTTGAGGGTGTGGGAGGGCCAATTGGGGTTTTTCGAGTGTGGTGGGCTGGGTGGCTGGGGTTTTTGGGGGTGGGGGAGGTGTCAAGGTGGTTTCGGGGGGTGGGGGAGGTGAGGTTCCAGGTGGTTTCAAGGGAAGAGAGGTGGAAATTGAAGGAGGAGGGGAACGACTGGTTGTCGGCGCTAGAAAAGGGAAGGGAGTCTGGGTGGCGATGGCGCCGGCAAAGGGATGGGCTGGGTTGCTGGTTCGGTGGGGAGGATGGGGTGTTTTTTTTTTTAAATTTTTAAATTTAAGTTGATTATTAAAAAAATAAAAAAACTAACCGTGGTTAATGATTTTGACTAAAAAGATGTTAACCATGGTTTAATATTAACTAAATTGCTTCTTAAGTTTACCATTGAAAATTATAAAAGATTAAAGTTTACCAAAGATAATAAGAATTTTTGCAATTTACCACTGAAAAAATTAAAAAGTTTAGTGTTACCATTGAGAATTTCCCAATATAAAAAGGAACGAGTAACATTTACTAGTGTAATGACATGTACATTAACGATTTACCATTTTTATATTTAAACAAGTTCAATGACATTAAATTAGCAAATCAATAGTTCATACTTTGTAGTGCAATGAAGTATATGTAGTAGTAAAAAGTTGCTTCTACCGTTTTTTTATTTGACATGTTTCATTTATTATGCTTGTTGTCATTCTTGTCAATGCATAATTTTAAATTTCAATAACTTCAATCCTTATATTAACTTTTTTTGACACAAATTGGTTTTGTGTAGAACGGACTCACGTAAGTCCGGTTTATAATGCACACATTTGTCCCCCACTTACTATTATATACTCACCGTTGCCGAAAGAACGACTCATTTGGCCTAATTTTAGTCCCAAAAAGAATGACTCAGTAGCATTAAAATTTCCACCAATTTGCAACAATATTTGTGCAAAATTAGTTTCCCCGTATAAAATTTTGTTTTTCCATATACTTTTATTACTATCTCTTTTTACTTTTATGTAAACTCCATGTAAATTTATTTTTCCAATATACTTATACTTCTTTTATTTAACTTTATTAATACCCACAAAATCAATCCAAAAGGCTTGTTCTTTCGAGAACGGAGGTAGTATTATCCAGCTTTATCAATAGGAAATGTGGGACTATTAGCAGCAGATTTGTTGATATCATCAACTGGTACTGAAAAATCGGCTCCACAAACCCTCTTCAATCTACTCTCTCTCTCCTCCAATCTTCTCCCTAATTCTCAACCATGGTCGCTCTTCGCCGCCGTGGAAGAAGGACCCATCGAGCTTTCGCCGGATACTCCATCAATTTTTGCTACAAATGACGATCCTACTTCTTTTCAAGTCTCTACCAGTGTTGAGAATTGGGGCGAAGACGGTGAAAGAAAGGCCTTATCCGACCTCAAATCGGGACTCGAAGAAGCCATTTCAGTAAATTCCTTATTTAAATTTAGAAGAGGAGAAAGTCGATAACCCAGCCGAGCAATTGAGCAAAGAAGAGGAAGGATAGACAGAGATTGAAGGAGATTACGAGAGTAATATTTCCATTTAAGGTGTACCTTTATTGCCTAGTAAAGGCTCAGAAGGTACTGAAGTAATTGTATTGAAATTTTGTCTAATATTTGATAGTTACAATCCAATATCTGACTATAGTAATCTAATTACTTACACTTTTAATCTAATACAAAGTATCTGATTATTATAATCTAATTTCGAACAATTACAATCTAATATATGATAATCATAATATAACATCTGACTATATTAATTTAATATTTGACCATTAGTTTTAATTCGTGACACTTTTAATCTAATATATGATACTTGTAACTTAATATCTGACGATTATTATATATTTCTGACAATTAATAATTTTTTTTTAAATTTGTATGATTGGATTCACTTGAGTCCGTTCTACATAATACTTTTCCATTCTTATATTAATTAGTTGTTAAAATTTTCTTAAAAAAATAAATAACAAAATAAAGATACAGAATTGTTTTTACAAACCAAACTTCGTAAAGTTTTATTTACTTTAAAAGAAAAATAGAAATTAGATTTTGTTACCGCACGGATCCTATCTATAAATCTATTAATGGGTTCACCATTTAACATATTTGACATTATCTTTAATTGCACTACTTGTTTTGGTTACAAGAACTAGGTAAAAGGGTGTAAGGCGGGGAATACCAAGAATGCCCATGTGTGTATGTTACTACAAACAATGGAGACAAAAAAAAAAGTGTGGTAATAAGTTATTATCAAATGTTCTTCAAAAAAAAGTTATTATCAAATGTATGTAAATGGTATGATTGTGTATTTGGTGTGTGAACATATGATAAAAGTTTATGAATGCATATCATATAGGGATATGGAATTAATACTTTGTACTACCTCCGGTTCAAATTACTCGCAATTTTGAGATATTTTATATTCTCACAAATAATACCCAAAAGCTACCAGTAATTTGGACCATAGGCAGTATACAACTTCTCAAAAAGAAAAATAGTGCAATTAAATAAATAAAAAAATAAAAATAAAAATAACAGGGAAAGTATGTTATGTGAGATCAAAAAAGAGGTTAATCCTTCTATTAATATGAATTAAATTGAGTCTTTTTTCATGCCTTATATATACGGGTAAACCTCTTCGCTAAATCCTGTAAATCACTATATATATATATATATATATATATATATATATATATATATATATATATATATATATATATATATATATATATAATCTCGTAAGAATTTTTTCTTATGTGAGAACACTTTTTATGTTCTAAATTTTTACCCATATGTTCTAAATTTTAAATCTGATGTTCTAAACTTTTTCCCAGGTGTTCTAAAGTAAATCAGATGTTCTATATTAGTACTCACATGTTCTAAACCATAAATTAGTTAACTTAGATGTTATAAATTTCGAATGACTTATTCTGAAATTTTAACTTATATGTTCTAAATTT